TGGAATTGAAAACAAAGTGTTTTCCTCTGTGAGTGAAAAACTCACAAAAATTCAGTAAACGTCGGAAAAATCCCGCCAAAAAAATACTTTTATTTTTCCCGAGACTCTCATCCCCCACACTGGACAAAAAATATCTGCAATCCTTTGAATAAACTAGAGCCCAAATCTTTCGGAAATAAAATCAAATTTTCAGGTTGTTCCTATTTCCCCTTTTTGCGAATAGCCAATCGTCTGTTTTCACAAACGGCGGGTGTCAGATTAGTGGGCCACTCTCGTCACTGGAAAATAAAACAATGCAGGAAACTTCATCCCCGCGTTCTCTCCTCCGCGCTCCCCCGATTTATCTGAGCAGATGTGATTCTCAGTTCTCGTTTTAAATTGTGAAAAGCGAAACATATCAAGCATTTATAAAAATTTACACAAAATAGAATCATAAAAATTGAAAATTAGTGATTAAACGAGGTAGATTTGATGACACAGAAAAAGGAAAATTTAACAGTTTTATGAATTTTTTATGGTGCATTTTTTCAACTGAGGTTTATAATATATTTTTTTCTATTGTTGTTTTTAACATTGAATTTTTATTGTGCATTTTCAATGTTGCAGATTTTAACTCAATTTAACGTCAAATGGTGATAGAATTGTTTGTTCAACGAGGGTTGTTAACAAAATGGAGTTTTTTATGTTAAACCGTGATTTAAATTTAAATGACAGTTGATTTTTAATCTCATTGTGAAAATGGAATATTACATGATGAATTTGAATAGAGCTTAAATCCAAATCGTTAATAAAATATTCCGTTCATCTTGGAAATTCCAAAAGTTTCCATTTCCCTCCGAATAAATCCCCCAAGTACTCCCATAATTGAAGCTCTCGGCATACTTCAACAACTCTCCCTAGTGCCAATAAACCATCCCCCATTGACACCCATAAAAATCACCGAGCAAAGAATACTACAAAGTGCAAAATGTCAAATAAAACCTGATAGTACGAATTACACATTTAGGACTCTCATTTCTTCATCCCAACATTGCGATTCTGAATTCAATCTAAATCGCTCGTAGAATTTTTTATTCATCTTTTTCATGTTAATATTCTAACGTTTATCGTCTGCACTTTCTGTGTCAAATCCTGAAAACTCGTACCAAATGACATTTCCATTGAAATTACGCATTCCATTAATTTCCTAATAATTTAATGAGAAGTGAAAAGCTTCGAATTTCAATTAAATTCTTCCTCGCATGCATTCCTCAAAACTTGTATTGTGAATTTCCACCATAAATTTAAATAGAGCTTAAATCCAAATCGTTAATAAAATATTCCATTCATCTTGGAAATTCCAAAAGTTTCCATTTCCCTCCGAATAAATCCCCCAAGTACTCCCATAATTGAAGCCCTCGGCATACTTCAACAACCCTCCCTAGTGCCAATAAACCATCCCCCATTGACACCCATAAAAATCACCGAGCAAAGAATACTACAAAGTGCGAAATGTCAAATAAAACCTGACAGTACGAATTGCACATTTAAGACTCTCGTAGCCATTGTTAAATCCGTATCAAAAGCCGAATAGAATTTTCAAACGTTTTTTTATAGGACTCCTATACTGTTTGAACGTCTCTCCATCTCCAATATCACTATCGGAAATCCATCCAGCTTGGAATTTTAATGTATCCCCGTCTTGGTGCAATCTCTTTTCCCCCAATGCCCCCTTCTCCCACCTTCTCTCACCCCTTGAGGGATCACATTGTAATGCATATGCCATAAGTCACGGTGAGTTTGGCGACATTCATACGTATCACGTTCCTGCGTTAGCACTTATTCTCGCCTGAGGAAACGAGGTCACAGCTTCAATTTTAATAGTCAAATGTCAATTACAATTCTGCCATTTTTTTCTTCATTCGCCTTTTGAATAATAAATTCGTTCGAATGACATTGTATAATGAAGCTTCATGGGGTGACGAGTTTGATACGCCATTTTAATTGTCACCTCACCTTACACCCGATGTATCAGTTAATTTAAGGGGGAAATGGCTTCTGAATGATTAATATTTCTTTTTCAATTTGGTTATAAGGTATTTTTATGCTGCTGACGTGTGGACCAAATATATAATTTTTTCACGATTGGATGGGGTTAATGAATTCATTTAGCATGATTTTATACTGAGAAGGAAGTATTAATTTTATATCCGAGTGACAGAATGTGACACGAATTATTTCAGTTTGTTTATGTGGAGGTATTTCCGAGGAATGAGTGAGTGAAGGGGGAAATGGTGAATTTAAGCCAATTTGACTTGGATTTTATTTTAAAACTGAGGTTCATAGAGTTTTACTTCATTTTAAAAATTTTTTTTTGTTTCATAACGTCAGAAAAAAAAACAAATTAATTTTCGATCAATCTCGCATTTGCGTATTGAACATTTTTTATGTACCATTACAATCTTCAACAGCTCGAAATAAAAATTTTTTAGACGTTATAAAAAAGCGCCCAAAAGTTATAATTGAAAAAAAATGAGTTTCCTCACGATCTGTTTTGTGTTTTTAAAAAAAGCATACTCAGAATAATTCTATGGATTCTAACGGGCATCAAAAAAGAGAATTTTAAAGAAGAGTGTCTCGCGAATTATGATTAATAAATAAAAAAATTAGATGAAAAAAAAAATACAATTATAATTTATTATAAATTAATAAATTGATTGATTAAATTAATTAATTTTTTTGAAATTCTCTCAGCTATAAAATTGTTTATTGACATTTTGCTCTCAATCGCCTCGCTTCCGAGATAATTAGGCAATTAACAAAGGGGTTATGTTTAACTTAGTCATTTTGCAAGTCAACGATAGATGTTATTTTCTTTTATGACACGAAAAATCAACAATAAATACTGGAAGCATCATTTCCCTGAAAGTGTGAATACCTCAGGGCTATCTCAACGGCGGAAGTTATAAACATTTGGGTATCGCGAGTGTTAGACACCGGAAGAATGTTGATTTCTTCAGGTCTCGGGTGGAAAATGGGTGTTCGTTACGGAGGAGCGCTGATACCAGTGATAGTACGGGGGCCGGGTTATGTGAATTATGTATTCATGAATATTTTTTAAGGGAGAATAAAATGCCGTGGGTATTGTCACTGTGACCTGGTATGCTTTCGTTGAGAGGAGAACGAGGGCCATTGGAAGGGTGAAGTGCTGCGATAACTGTAATGGACACTCTTGCTGGCGTTAGAACCCTGTTCTTGGTCATTATGGCGCATCTCTTTCTTGATATCTTCGGGAATTTAGAGTTTCTTATTTTGTTAGAAATATTGCGATACTTTGAGGGATAAAGGTTCTTGGATTTTCCAAGTTGAAATGATTTTCATTATTTAATTGGAAGAAGAGAAAGGAACACACAATATTTGGCAAAATTGAGTTTAACTGACGTCAATTATACATTTTTTTCTTGTTTTTATTATATGGTTTAATTGACGGATTTGATGATTGAAAATCCCCAAATTTATAAAATTATAATTCTGAATATTAATAAAGTTCAACTCTATGGATAATAATTTACTAGATGATGGATCACGGGAATTTGGAGCATAAATAAAATAACGCTGGTCAAATTCTCATTTACGCGACGTTTCCCTGATATATTTCAGCTTCCTCAGGCTCTTGACATGACTAGCGTGTAGTCGACTTAGTAAATACAGGTCTCATACGGGAATTACAAACTCGCATTGTAGCAGATGAACACAACGAAATCAACAGCAATTTGCACTGACTTCTCGTGACGTCACACGTTAGTATAAATTCTAAATAATAATAAATTCTGAATATTTTTCAAATTTTTTGTTCAAGTTTCACTTAAATTTCCGGATACCTCGAATTTGAAAAATGATAATTTGATGAAAAAATCTATAGAAACAGTAAATTTCAGTTCAATAATTCACTCAAAATGAATGAAATTTCGAAAAAATTACAAAAATTGAGCCCAATTTAATTACGAGTTACGAAATTCCTTTTCGACGTTCAGCCAAAACCGGAAAAGTACACTTCTACTTCGATGAGAAAAATAATTTGCAATATGCATGATTTATTTACTCAACTTTATTTTTCTTCTCAACTGAGTTGTCCACTTGACAAGTCAAATTCACCTAAATTTTCCGTTAAAATTTCAATTTCCACAAGTTTCCTCAAAGTTATTAGATTTGCCATGAAATCCCCATCACTTTAAACCGTGTAGGACAAAAATAGTTTAACGACATTTTGTCGAGAGCGAAATTTTCCACAACAGTCCATTAGGCACGAGCCGACGGCGCGTTCCGCAATTCCGTGAGGCAGAGCAGTGTTATAAAGCACAAACGATATTCTTCATTGCAGAAAAAATAATAAATGTCTTTCTATGATTGCTTTTAACATCACTCATCACCGATATAAATCAGTTCACAACGCTGAGGCCAAGTTACGCCAATACAAAGACGTGAATTCGATTAATCAATTCTGATGAATCCCTCATTCTCCATGAGTTCGTCTTTGGCATCGAGACGTTTGTGTCAGCAATGCCGTATGAATAAAGACAAATTGCCAGCTGCTCACTCAGCGTCCATCCCAGCATTGAATCAGCCATATAGCTGTTTGTCGTCGTTTTAATTAACATATTGGAATTATCGTTAATTACAATGACGCAGTTTATTCGTACATTGAAAAATAAAAATTTAATTGGGTTGCCTTTAATATTCATCACGATTAATTAATTACAACCTACCGCGCTGCGTATTGAAGTATTTTTCCGCCCAACTGTAAAAATCCCCTCGCATTAATCACATTTCAATATCAATTAATGAAGCTCTTATCAAAAAAATCCTTCATTCTCTGTTTCAGAATCAATAACACCAACCGCCCAAAATCATTAACTCCAAAATACTGCACCTGTGATTGTAAAAGCCTGTGATAAAGTCAGTCTGCATTCCGAAGACCCATAATCCAAACTTTACCAAAACTCATCAGTCAAGCCAGCTAAACGGAAGCAACTCTGGCAACCGTGAGATGTACATCGACAAGTTTGAAATTCGAGGAACGACAGTCGAGCCCCCGGATATTACGAGATAGCAGAGACTTGATATCCAGAAATTCCAATCAACTCGAAAAGAATAGCCGTCAATCATCGTCAAGTAGCCGACGAAATAATGGGACCAACGAGGAAGCAGCATCTCCCACTGTCACACCTCCTAAACCCAGTAGGACCGACCGGCTAGACGTGCCCACCAATGGCGTCACAGTTCCGCTGATTGACGAACCAACAGCGCCGCGAAAACCGCCCGAAGTCAAACGCAGTGACTCCTTCATAAAGAAAATCATAAAATCCTCGAAAGAGAATCTAACCCTCAACTGCGAGAAGCTAATCAAAAATATCCAGAGAAGAAGTCCTCGCCTGGTCAGGAGGAAGCAGGCTTCAAGTGACAGCAGCGAAAGTCAGAAGAGCGCATTTGGCGAGGAGATCCCAGTGCCCCCAGAGCGACGCAAGCGCCCTCGCAGGCGTCCCCTGGCCCTCGCCAATCTTTTCAAATCAGCGGAATACTTGTCACCCCCTGAAGAGTGCCTCCTCCCCACGCACGAATCCAATGAAGCCCACATAAAGGCACCAGTTCCCCAAGGACAGCCTCCACATCCAGGCGAGAGCTCCCCAGTGCAGAGACTCTACTCGAGTTCTCCCCATTCCAAACGATCAAGTTCACGTAGCATATCCGTCGAGGACGTAGACGAGCTGATCCGATCGGAGAACAACTTTCAGCTGTTGGAAGAGCGAACCCATGTTTACAGAAAGCTACGCCGAGAGCTCGAGCAAACAAGACGACTGTCTGACGACGAAAGCTCTGGCAATTCATCAAATGAACTTCCAATAAGACGATCGCAGAGTGTGAGAATAATAAAGCGCAGTGTTAAGACTAAAATTACAAGGAATTTGTCGAATCTGTCGGCTTTGAAGAGAACCAAGCTCAAACGTTCACCAACACCAGAAGACGTGCGCTACCTCGGGTCATTAACTATCGCTGATAGCAGTGAGAGGTCACACGATAATCTTGTCTTGCTAAACGAAGTATCGATACCCCAGGGCTGCCATTCTGTCATCGGCAATATAACGTTAAACTCAATAAATTCAGACTCGATTGAGCGCCGCATCGTGAATTCCGCGTACAGTGAAAAATGCAGAATTGCAAATTCATTGAATACTTGTGCTTCTAATAAACCGAAGGAGGGAGAAGCGTTGAAAAAGCAGGGTGATACTGTTGCGTGGCGCACTTTGGTAGCGACAGAGGCGGCTGGTTGCGATGCGACAGCAGTGACGAGACATCAGTTAAGTGACTACAATCGGGAGGAGGAGGGACACGGCGGGACTGAAAAAGTGGGGAATTGGTGGGATTTTAAGAGCATTAATTCGCCTGTTGGTGAGCGTCAGGTGATTCATTTGAACGCAAGCGATCGTGATAATTATTTGCCTGATGATTTTGGAGAGTATTCGAGGATATCGTGTGCAGTGGTGTGTGATAATTGCGACAAGTTGACAGATTTTGATGGAAAAAGTGAAAGTGACAGGACTGGGGGGACAATTTATGTAGACGATCGGGTATTGATCAAGGGGAAGGGCTCGAGAAGCAAGAAAGCTCGATTGGGCTTGAAGCAACAGGTGAGAAGTGAACTTGCAAAGGCTGGAAAAAAGAGAGAAGCCAGTGAGCAAGTTAATATGGGACTCTTCATCAAGATGATGAGGATCAGAGAAAAGTTGATATTTGGGTTCAGTGCATTTGCAATACTGTTTACCCTTCTGCTTGTCATGGATTTGCAGATGGACTTGGGGTACAGTGGCCATCATTTGGTGCCCAGTCATGGTAGAGTTAGAATGGGAGATGAACCTGATCGTGATACAGTTTACAACAATTTCCGTCGCAAGTTTCTGCAGAGAACGAATGGCAGCAGAGAGTTAACAGCAAGTGATAATTCAGTTGGTACACAGAATACGAGAGACAGTGGGGCTCTAAGGGAGAGTGGAAGGACTGAAGTTGATGGTGCTAGTTCGAAAAATGAACAGGATCATGATGATTTTGCGGATCTTGTTGATATGGTACTTAATGGTGATGGTATTGATACGGAAACTGGTGTTGTGAGAGTTAGTGGTGAGGATTACACGAATAATCCGACACTTGCGGAGGTACAGGGTGTCAAAGTGAGGTGAGTTATGCATGGTAATCCGTAGAGGGAATTTATTACTTGTGGAGGAGGAAGAACATTTGAATTTTTCAGTCATGAAAATTTGATGCTACCTTGTAACAATTCAGTCGTCTCAAAATTTACCGCTTTTTTTTATCTAAATATGTGAGACTGTAAATATTCAAGGCTTGAATATTTACATGTTTTAAATGTGCAACAACTTGGTCTAGTTAACTTGACGATTGTTTCACCTCTTGATGGCGAGCGTTATTCTTTGTGGATCGGATAAGCGTTATCGGTACGTGAGGAACGGTTGCCGATAGTATAAGTATGTATAGGGAAAATTAACGAATAGCAATTGCACACGGTTAAAGAGGTACATAATAAGTCGCTGGGTCTTGAATGTTTTTCACTGTGTGTTATGGATCAGAGATGTATCCACAGGGTGATACTCCTGAGTTAACAGTTGAAATCACTCGGGTTATTTACGACTTAGTTTACTTCGTTTTGTTTTACTGAATTAAGATTCAAAACAGCCATTCGTTCCGGATTTTGATTTTTCAATAAATATTTTTATACGATATTTTTACAAGCGATTTCGTTTCTTGCGTTTGTTTCGATTATTTCATTTGTTCATTTTAATGACCATTAAATCTTCAGTTGAAATGCTTGTATGAGATATGTAATTTGACGCGATCAGAAGTTGTGTGACAAGTTAGATAATGATTGAATTTGATTTGGATGGAAGATATGATTAGATTTACTTGAGTATTTCACAGGGAGGAGTTAATTCGAAAAGTTGAATGAATTAAATTAAATGAAATTGAAGGAAATTGAGCGGCCGATGTGTCCACACCGACCGATTTTTCTTATGATAACTGTGAATTTTCCCAATCTTCGTATTCCCCACCAAAAAAAAAACTTTTGAAGTTAATTTTCAACTGAATAAGTCATACTTTTGTCACCAGATTTGTCACTGGTGAGAATTTAAAATTTTGGTTACTAGCTGATCATCTAAAAATACCAGATTTAGGGACAAAGTCACCAAATCGGCAACACCAATCGTTTTTGTTTTTCACCTTTGAGTTGAATCCGGGTAATACTTAAATATTACACTGATAAAAAGGATTAGTTCTTAGCAAATGGATTTGGTTGAAGGCTCGGGTCTATTCGGGCTCACCAAATGTTCATTCCTTAACAGTTAACGAAAGGAATATATGAGGAGCTGTGTTGGACTCAAGTTTCACCTTTCAAATGAACCATTCGTTAACTATTAATGAATATTTTGTCATATTCAACTCTACCATTCGTTAATAGTTAAGGAATCTGACGAAGGGTTATAACGTCACATTCGTCAGAAAATACTTTTACTGCCGTGTGGCACACGATATTTTATGCCTCGAGGACTGAAAACCGCGATTTAACCGAGCGGAGCGAGGTTAGAATCGCGGTTTTCCGTCCTTAGAGGCATAAATAGCTAACTCGATTAACTCCGCGAAGTAGGCAGTAGGAATCCGAAAAACAATAAATAATATTCGAATCGGATAGCAATGAAAATGTATAATTATTCATTTTTTAAATGCTGCGACAGCTGCGGTGACATTTTCCCATTTCGAATTGGAAAATCGTGGTTTTTCTTGATTTGTACTTCGAGAAAAGCCACAGATAAAACTGTCCCGTGTCATCTAATGATTAATTCCATATTCTCCGATTTGGGGCAATTCTGGAGAGTTTGAAATAAAAAAGGATTTCTGTATTTTTGGAACGAACAGGTTGAGCAACCGTGTCACATGCTAACTCGTTGGACAGTCTATTTAGCGAGGATAACAGTTTATTCGAGTGTTTTCGATAAGCGTGATACATTGTTACAGTTCTCATTAAGGATTGAGTACGTAATGAGTAACTCATTCACAAATCTAGAGGAAACTCTTTCAGAACCTCTCAATTTTGATATTCTATTGAGCCAAAACATTTTGTACTTGACCAAGAGATGAGGACAATTGGTTTATAATAAGAAAATGAAAATAGTGAGTTTTCAAACCAATTCAAGTGATTTTTGCATTAAAATATTTTACATTTGAGGCTAAAAAACTATTAAATAAATTAGCTGTACTGTATTAACTGTTCAACTGTACTTTGCGTGAGAAATCACTTTCTTGTCATGAAAAAATTGTTCTCGTCTTTCGGACAAGTCCACAATATCTTGACGAAGGTTTTTTCTTTTTTAGTGCAAAATATTTCGCACTTGAAAATTTTTGACCCGCAAATTTCTTGATATAGGTGAAGACGAATTTGTTAAAAAACTTTTTTTTTCTCAGAGTAGCAATATTCATTAATCGTTAGAATAACGTGTTTTCTTCAATGAAAATCCGTACATCGGAATATGTCAAATAACTCCCGCGAATCACTGATATCCCGGCAATTTCATTGAATTGCTGAATCACATTGCTTCCGATTGACTGAATGTGTATGTTTAATGTCCAGTAATTTGGATTTACCATTGGGAGCTTTGCGTGCTACACAGCAATACACACAGCGTTCAAACGAAATGGCCAATTTGATGCATAGTTGACTGCTGAGCCACAGGTTTCGATCCTTTTTTCATTACAACCCAAGACTCGATGTTGCCGACATTATGCATCAATTTTTTTTTATCGAGGAGAATTTGATTATCTGAACATTGCATACAATGATTTATAATCTCTATTATTCAAATTCAAATTACTCGTCGAATGTTTGACGAAATTGAGGGAAGGCAAATCTATATGTGGTTGTTTTATTCACAGTATAGTAGTTTGGGTTATTGACAGCATATAGTGGCCAATGAATCCCTTGAATCATTGAAAAATTTAAATAGATTGAGGAATTCCCAGGGAAATGTAAAATTTCATTACTTTTCCCCTTCAAATCGCATGAATGTTCCTGTCCTTAAAATTGCTAGTCCCATTTTCCATGAAATATAATATCAATTTCTTATCCAACAGTATTCAAATGAATTTCCCCACAATTCTCATCGAGCCGAACCACCTGCAAATCAATTACAAAAGCCATCTGAAAATATTTGATTCCCAAATAACTTCTAACAGTCCAACAAACCCTAATACTTTTTTTTCACTTGCGAAATTTCAAGAAATTTCGTAAGTGAATCACTTTTCGCAAATTTTTACCACACTTTAGGGAAAAATAAAATAGAACTGTAAATTTCAGTTCAATTATTCCCTGAAAATTGGTAGAAATCAGAAATATTTCGGGGCATACTCTCTTGAATTTTCAATTAAATGCAAATTCATCATGAAAAATACAAATACGTTGAGGAATTTTTATCTCAATGCTGTTAAAAAAATTGCAATTTCATTAAATCTCCAGAAGAATGTGAAATATCATTATTTTCCCCCCTTAACTCGCATTCAATGTCACTCCCTTCACCATTACCAGCCTACGAAATATCAATTTTTAATCCAACAGTATTCAAATTGATTTCCCCGAATCCCCATCGAGCCGAGCCCCCCGCAAACAATCCTGATCAGTGACAAAAGCCATCTCGAAATATTTGATTCTCTAGCTTCTAACAGTCCACCAAAGCCTAATGGTAATCACGCTAATGAGACTGTTGAAGCATCGCCATTCTCCCTAATGTCTATAGATATGATACCAAACAAGAAGGCCAGAATTTCTGTCGTTTAACCGGAGTAAACATACCACTGAATACCAGGCAACCGGATGTCTCATACGTCTGGGGACTGCGTTATCCCCATTGTTTCGAAATTCTCGGACTCACCAACAATGCTGTGGATATCCTATTTCAGGGGAATACGATGAATAGGAGTACCACTCGGGGATGGGGATATGATGAGCCCGCGGCAGGATCGCGCGGGTCACAGTTGGATATGGCTTGGGTTTTTGGGGCTG